ACAGCTCCTGCACGCACAGAAGATCACTCCACCTCTTTCTCGCCTCACCCCCCCTTCCAACCACCTCCACCCCTCACCCACCCACCCGCCCTCCCTCCACCCACCCCCCCTCCCTCCACTTACCCGCCCTTCCACCTGCCGCCAGATTTGCCGGTTGCACCGGTGCCGTGCCTTGTGCAGCACCAGAGTCTTCATCTGGAGTGGCCGCTGCAAGCGCTGCACGGGTGGGTGGGAGGAAGTAAAGAGTTGAGAGAGGGGGTTGGGGAGCAAGCAAGCAAGCAAGACAGTTGAGAGCTTTGAGATGTCTGTGCCAGTTCCATGTGCGCACCGGTTCCATCTCATCTCAGAACCCAGATTTGCCGGTTGCATCTGTGCCATGCCTTGTGCAGCACCAGCGTCTTCATTTGCAGCGGCCGCTGCAAGCGCTGCATGCACGAATGGAAGGAAGGGTTTGGGGGAGGGGGTTGCGGAAGGGAGCCGGGTTGGGAGGGAAGGAGCAGAGCATGCAAGGCGTTTGCATCGGTGCCATGCCTTGTGCAGCACCAGCGTCTTCATTTGCAACGGCCGCTGCAAGCGCTGCATGCACGAATGGAAGGAAGGGTTTGGGGGAGGGGGTTGCGGAAGGGAGCCGGGTTGGGAGGGAAGGAGCAGAGCATGCAAGGCGTTTGCATCTGTGCCATGCCTTGTGCAGCACCAGCGTCTTCATTTGCAGCGGCCGCTGCAAGTGCTGCATGCACGCACGAATGAATGGAAGGAAGGGTTTGAGGGAGGGGGTTGCGGAAGGGAGCCGGGTTGGGAGGGAAGGAGCCGGGCATGCAAGGCGTTTGCATCAATGCTGTGCTTTGTGCAGCACCAGCGTCTTCATCTGGAGTGGCCGCTGCAAGCGCTGCACGGGTGGACAGAAGTTGGGGAAGGCGGCTGGGGAGGGGTTGGGAAGGAGGAAGCGAGCCGGCATCGGTGCCGTGCCTTGTGCAGCACCAGTGTCTTCATCTGCAGTGGCTGCTGCAACCGCTGTAAGGGGTGAGAGGGGCGAGCCGCGAGGGGAAAAGGGGGAGAGGTGAGGTTCAGGGGAGGCAGAAAGGTAAAGGTATACTTGATGACTTTTGAGACGTCTTGGGATGGGAGTACTCGCAGAGTGAAAGGTTACATGATGCTGGAAAGATTGTCTGTCTGCTCTAAACTAAAACTCACGAGGGTACTTACAGAGAGAAGGGTTTGCAAGCCTCTCTACCCACCCACGTGCCCACTCAAGCACGCACATGCCCACTCCCAAGCACGCACATGCCCACTCCCAAGCACTCCCAAGCACTCCCGAACAACATGCCCACTCAAGCACGCACGAGCATCTCAGCCGCGAGGTAGTCCTCTGTGATCCACTCCATGTGCGCCGTGATCTTGTCAATGTTGAAGTAGGTGCAGAGCGGTAGGTCGCGGTCCATGCCGATGCGGCTGCGAGTGGAACAAGGGCAGGGATGAGAGCGATGACAAGGGACAGCGTGAGGTGAGAGGAATGGCGTGGGATGGGATAGGAGGCCTTCCCCCCTCACTGCCTCTCAGCGTGTTTTTGAGAATTCTCAATGTTGAAGTAGGTGCAGAGCGGTAGGTCGCGGTCCATGCCGATGCGGCTGCGAGTGGAACAAGGGCAGGGATGAGAGCGATGACAAGGGACAGCGCGAGGTGAGAGGAATGGCGTGGGATGGGATAGGAGGCCTTCCCCCCTCACTGCTTCTCAGCGTGAGGGGGGCTTTGGAGAAGTGGGCTGAGAGCGACTGAATAAAACCTTCACTTTCTAGCTCCTTTTATGGTCCTTTTTTGCTCCTTTTCACAGCCACCCACCTGCTACAGCCACCCACCTGCTGCCCACGTGTGTGAGCACAAAGGTGCGATTCGTGAGGTTTGCGATCGTCATCGCCTCCCCTAGATGCAGCCTGCTTCCCAGAGGAGAAGAGGGGGAGTGGGGGGGAGTGGGGGAGTAGTGGGGAGTGGGTGAGAGGGGGAGTGGGGGAGAGGGGGAGACGGGGAGAGAGGGGCTGTGTGGGGGGTTGGGAGTATTGATATTTGATTATGGAAAACTGCTGTTGCTGCTGCTGCTGCTGCTTCTGCTGCCGCTGCTGCCCCAGCTGCTGCTGTTACTGCTGAGTGACTCACCTTGCTTTGGTGAGCTGCTCTCGCTCTGCTGCCAGCATCACGAATTTCCTCCCATTCTCCACTGCCCCTGCTCACACACCCGGAGGAGGGGAGACGTGCGGAGGCGGAGAGGTGCGAAGAGGGGGAACAGTGGAGGAAGGGAGCAGCGGAGGGGGCGTGGTGCCGAAGGGAAAGAGGTTTTTGTAGAGATAAACGAGGAGGGGGAGACGAGTAGGGAAAAGGGGGGGAGGGGGGAGAGGAGGACGAAGGGTGATTGAATCAAATCATAACCTATCACGAGCAGCAATGAGGAGGCAAGGCACGGTGGGGCAGAGTAGGCCAGGCATGGCATGGCATGGCATGGCATGGCATGGCATGGGACGAGATGGCTTCAACCCTGCATCTGTACCCGCCCAGCAGCACATAAAATTCTTTGTCCATCCACCCACCAATTTCGAAACCCTGAATCTGTACCAACCCACCGATACACCTATCCATCCATCCGTCCATCCATCCATCCATCCATCCGTCCATCCATCCATCCATCCATCCGTCCATCCATCCGTCCATCCATCCATCCATCCATCCGTCCATCCATCCATCCATCCATCCGTCCGTCCATCCGTCCATCCATCCATCCATCCATCCGTCCGTCCATCCATCCATCCATCCATCCATCCGTCCATCCATCCATCCATCCGTCCATCCATCCATCCATCCACCCATCCATCCATCCATCCACCCATCCATCCATCCATCCATCCATCCATCCATCCATCCATCCATCCATCCATCCATCCATCCATCCATCCATCCATCCATCCATCCATCCATCCATCCATCCATCCATCCATCCATCCATCCATCCATCCATCCATCCATCCATCCATCCATCCATCCATCCATCCATCCGTCACCCACCGGCTAAATGGGGATGCGAGACATTCCGAGCTCGGTCGTCCCCACAGTCGTAGTAATCAAACTTGAAAGCCCCCCCGGCTTCTTCTCCTGCTTCTCCCCCTGCTCCTCCTTCCCCCCCTGCTTCTTCGTCTGTTATTATAAAATCAGCACTCGCCACGTCCGCACCCCCTCTTCCTGTCTCTAGCGCCATCTTTCGCGCTTCCGCGGAACCATCGGTTCCGCCGCTCTCCCCATCCTCAATCCCCTCCCCGTTCCCCATCCCATTCCCCGTTCCCCCTTCCCCTTCTTCGGCGAAATCCATGACGCTGTAATCCAGGCCGTCCATCCACGGCTCGATCTCCGGATTTCCCGGCGATTCCGCGATTCCCGCCGTCTGCGCCGCCGCAAACCGAGCCGGGCCTCCTGGTAATACTGGGGAGATGAGGACAGCGAGGACAAGCGGGAGAAGGAAGCGGAAGCGGAGGAGGCGGAGGAAGCGGAGGAGGGGAAGGTAGCGGAAGAGATGCGGAGATGCGGGGATCGGGTTGCCGTCAAATCGTTGAGCTTTTCGTAACGGGCGCGCTTCTCTAGAGCGCGATCGGCGCGAAGAGGTGGATTCCGCGGGAGCACGCGATTCATAGCATTCTACCCGCGCCGCGGCCAAAATCAAGGTGTGCAAATTCTGCCCAAGGTTTTCGTCCAGTTTGAGGTGCGAATCACATCTGTCTCGAGTGGCTCGAAGCGAATCTTTTTGACCCGAGAAACGCGGAAGCGGTGGTGTTTGCCGATGCCCCCGCAACGGCGACGGCGCGGCATCTTGCTCCCGCTCGACGCGATCGCGCGGAACGAGAAGTGGCTTAGAGCTCATGGCGGTCGGAGCGTTCAATTGGCAACATTAACGTCAGTTGCGGTGTCAAAGGAAGATGATCGGGGTGCTGGCGCCCTGTCGAGCGCGGGTAGTTAACAGAATACGGCCTAGAGTTCTTATTTGTAGTGCAGAAGAGGTGCGTTCCAATAGCTTGACTGATCTTCCAATAGGTGGTGATGTTGATGTTTGGATTTTGCGTCTACTCTCACGGCTTGATCAGCTACTACCCCAGCAAACAATTTTCAACAACTCCAATCGACGGGTTGAGTACGTTATGGCTCGGTACAGGGTGATATTGCGTGCTACGGAGGTTGCAGCAGTGTGCAGAGCGGAGAGTCGTTCGTCATACCGCCGACCAGGCAAGCCCTAGAGCCATCAACAACAATGCAAGCCTCCCCAAGCATCACCTACCTCCTGCCGCCTTTGGTTTCGCCACAGCCACATCTTGTACAACACTAACAAGAAATGGAACATCTTGTACCCTTAGGTAATATAATATATTTCAATGTTGTCTCATCCGCTAGCACCAACAAAACCAGGCGTAATTTTTATCATTATTTATAATAAAGATGTGTATGATATATTATTATCAATAGAAGAGCACGAAGTGATGGCTGGGATATCAGATTTATCCGCATTGTACAAACCGACATTTGCTTTGGGATTGGCTAGTAAAGGGGATGTGTATTCCGTGGTTGTCTTGACTCACTGATGCTGAAGCCTTTTTCAATGGCGGTTTCCCTTCCCCTCCAACAATTGTTTGTGGTTCCGATGCGCCTTCGATTGACTGACGGATCGCGCTGCAGAGCTTGGCGCAGTGGGCGCCAAAGCCAGTAGGAGATTCGTAACGACCAATCGAAAGGCCGCTCTACTCAAGTGGGACAGGCTTCCCAGTGGCAAAACCCAATTGGAAGGCCCGCAGCCCCCTCCAATAAATTTGTGCAGCTTCTGCAATGTTAGGGGGAGAAGTATCTTTCGGGCAAGGTTTTTTTATTTGGGGGAGCGGCGGTTCCACCACCTGGTGGTCAGCTGGTTTCGCGACTCGAAGGCCCTCGGGCAGATTTGTTTCGCACCAGACCAATTTTCGTAAAATTCGACACGAACGATGCTCCGCAGAAGCGGCTTGGAGATACCACGCCAGCACCGTAGTTTTCTGCGCCCTTCGGCAGGGAGGGATCTGCGCACACCCTTTCAGGGGCGCAGCACATGCGTCATGCAGCTGCGAACGAGGGGCATGCATGTTGTGCTGAATTCCACCCGCCAATGCGTTTCCTCCGAACAACCTGGTAAGCGTTGGGGGGTGAGGAAGGGAGGGGTGGATGAAGGGGGAAATGTGGGGGAAGGGGAAGTGGTGGGGAGATGGGGAAGCGGAGGAACGCGTTTCCGGGCAGAGTGGCGGGGTCCTGGTGGTATGAGGTAAGGGGAGGGAGGCGGAGAGGGGGGGGGGAGGGGGTGCAGCCCATTTGGGAACGCGTTTGGCATGGGGCTGGTTTGGTTGGCAGTGACAGCCCTCGCGATTCGCGCGAACCATCGGAGTCGTTCTCGGGTCCGCGGGGCGCGAAGCGGGGGACCTGACGATGAGAGGAGATGAACCAAGCTGACCGGGCAGACACAGGTCGGTCTTTCGCTGTCAAGCTGGAACTAACATCGAAGTGACGGTTCTCGTGGGGCAGTGTACCAAATTTCCCCTTGGCTGAATCAATATTATTTAGTGTGGCGATTGGCTAGCCTCAGCATCTTGATTCAAGTTCCGCCAGCTCCTTCTCCTGCCCCAAACCCAAACGCCAAGCAGGCCCATCAGACGACAATAATCAGGACGGTGACGAGGTAGAGAAGCGCGCCTGCTCGTTGCGCGGATGCCCGTGTCGGCAAATTCGGAGGGGCGCTAGGCTGGCTGAGGAGGGCGAGCGAGCGAGAGGCGTTGGAAAAGGCGCCGCGGGATGCGCTAAAATGAGGCGCAAGAGTGCTTCTGACGCGCCCGCAGACCGGAGAAAAAAAAATGTCGTTTCGTTGAGCCATTGCAACCTTTGGCTGTTGCTTGGTGCGAGCGGCGTATGGATTTTTTTTCTCTGAACAAACAAACAAACAAAACGCGCAGCAGGCAAGCCCCACTCCCTTCCCCGTTTCCCCTTCCCCCACCATTCCGCCTCCGCCCTTCCCTCCCATCCATCCATCCATCCATTCCCCCCATCACACATGTGACATCACCATCACCCTGCGCTCATCTTTTGGCGAGGCGGGCTCCCCGTCATTTTCTCGCGGCGATACATCACAAGCAGCACAAACAGAACCCTCCTGAAGCAAGCAAGCTTCACCAGATTTTCCATCAGCAGCGCTGTGAGTTGAGTTGATACTCCTCGAGAAGTCCTTCCTCTAACTTCGCTGATACAAGCCCTAAGCCAAACTGAATCCACGCAACAACGCACAAGCAGATTCACGCTCTTGTTTCCTGTCCTCCCCTCCTCGCGTTTCACGCTCTGCCAGTTCAACTAAACAATTCTGTTTCGTCTAGTATTCCCCGCCAAACCTACTTCAGATCGGGATTCGCACTCTGCCACTAAATCCTCCCTCCCATCGCGCCATGGATTTGAAGCAACAATCGAAAAAACGGGGCCATCCTTCACGGAAAGATCCAGCCGTCCGTCTGCCTATCGGCTCGCAACTTCGCCTCCTATGGCCGCGCGACGGCCGCTGGCACATGGGATCCGTCACGAAGTTCGACCCGAAAAAGGCGCTTCACACGGTCGTCGTCGAGCGGGGGGATTCAAAACGCGTCGACTTGCGAAATCTACCGTGGGAGTTGATTTCCACCCCTTCTGCGACGCACGTTATTCCGCTACGCCCTGTGTATCCTGGGTTTCAGCCGCCCTTCGACCCCGCCACTTCCGCCGCAGTTGACGGGTGCTTTTGGAGCAGAATCCATCCGTCGCAAACCGTCGTCCAATCAGCAGAGGCTCTGTCGCAGAACCTGTCGCAGAATCTGTCGCAGAATCTGTCGCAGAACCTGTCGCAGAATCTGTCGCAGAATCTGTCGCAGAACAACCAGCCTCCAGTCCCCGCTGCCTTGCCGCTGAAGTTGCAACTTCCAGCATGCGTACAGGCTGCCACCGCCGCCGCCGCCGCCGCCACTGCCGCTACGGACCTGCCGTCCGTCCGATCCGTGCCAGCCGCGTCGCTGTCGGCGAGCTTCTCTCACGGCCACCGCTTGGAACGGCCGACAGCGTCGACGGCCGCCGGCGCGCGAGCCGACGCGCTGATGGCGGCCGTTGCCGTCGCCACCGCATCCGAAGCGGGTAGCCGTCAAGGAGCAGACGAGCGAGTACCGGTTATGATCCCGACGGGTGAGGACGAATCAGAAGAAGGCAGTCAGATCTCGTGGGCGTCGAATCGGCCCATTGGTTCGGGTTTCGGGTTTGCTTCGGTGTTTAAGACCGGCGGAGGCAGCGGCGGCGGCGGAAGCGCTTTTCGCCGGTGGCAGGGGCGCGGAGGCAACAGCGCGTGCGCGTTCCCGCGGCTGGCGGAAATGGGAGCGGGAGTGGCGGAAAAGGGGGCCGGAGCGTGCGGCAGCGGCAGCAGCAGCAGGTGCAGCGAGAACGAGCACGAGGGTAGCGAGCAGGCGGATGAGCAAAGCGCGGCCGCGAGTAAGGACGAAGGATGGGCTGGATGCGGCTCGGAAAGCATGTCTGACGGCGAATGTCGAGGCGACGGCGGCGGCGACGGCGGTGCTAGCAACAGCGGGAAATCCCCCGAGGACGAGGTTCTGAGCGCGCGGGAGAGCCGCGCGTTGGATTGGGGCGCGGATTTGACGATTGCGGGGGCTGGCGCGGGGAAGAAGCGCAAGGGCGAGGCCGTCAGTCGAGACGAGGTGGCGCTTATTATGGCCGTTGCGAAGCGGCTTAAAACGGAGCATGACGTGGAGCCGGACGAATGCCCTGGAGCCTCGTCTGTCGCCGGATGGTGGCAGAAGGACTGCGAACTGGCGGCGGCTTCGCTCCTATTGGCTCCGCCAAGCGCGGCGGAATCTGCGGCAGCGACAGACGCGGCGGCGGACGCTGTGGCTGAAGCCCCCGCGATCGAGACGCGCGACGCGGCGGGAATGGTTGGCGGCCAGGCCGGCTCCGCGGTGCAGGCGAAGCGGCTCGAAGGGGTGAACGTGCAGCGCGCAGCGGGCAAGGGGGGAGTCCCGGAGCTGCTGCCGCTGCTGGCGGAAGCGCGAGGAGCGCTCGCGGGAGAGGCGGAGGAGGTGGCGCGCGGGGTTGGGGCGGCGGAGGAGGAGAAGCGGGCGGAGAGTGAGAGGGAGAAGAGTGGCATGTGGCTTGAGCTTGGCAATGCGGGTCAGCCCTTCGGGACCTCTGGGAACCCCGGGACCCCTGGGACCTCCGGGTTGTCTGAGACCTGTTCCCGAGCCTGCTCCAGTGGCGGATCATCCCCTGCTGCTGCTGCGTCCTCTCCTGCTGGTGTTGCTGCTGCTGCTGCTGCTGCTGCTGCTGCTGCTGGTGCTGCTGCTGGTGCTGAGGGTGCTGGGGCTGGGCGTGTCGAGGATTCACCTGCATTTGCTCTGACCCTCTCTTGCTCCTCTGCTCCTCCCGCTCCTCTTCCTGCTGCCGCACTGGCTTCGGCTGCTGCTGCTGCTCCTCCTGCTCTTGACGCTGCTCCAACTGCTGCTCATACTGCTCCTCCTGCTCCTCCTCGTGCTGCTACTCCTGCTGCTCCTCCTGTTTCCTCCACGCCTGTGATCTCACGGCCGGTGGCTCTGCGTATGAGCGCCCGTCCGTCTGCGGCAGTTGTGGCCACAGCTACAGCCCCGGCCCGTGCAGCCCCTGCTCCTGCTGCTACACCTCCTGTTGCGAAGCCACCACCTATTCTTCGCCCCGCTGGCCCAGCTGGCCCAGCTGTGCCTGCTGTGCCAGCTATGCCTGCTGTGTCCGCTGTGCCTGCTCTCCGCCTCCCCATGCTGTGCCTCCCCAAGGTGGTTGCTCACTCTCCTCCTCCACATGAACCGCCTGCTTCTTCTAACACCAATGCCGCCGCCTCTGCAGCTGCTGCTGCTTCTGCCACCACTGCCGCTGCTCCTGCTTTTGCTGCTGCTGCTGCTCCTGCTCCTGCTCCTGCTCCTGCTCCCGCTGCTGCTGCTGCTGCTGCTGCTGCTGCTGCTGCTGCTGCTGCTGCTGCTGCTGCTGCTGCTGCTGCTGCTGCTGCTGCTGCTGCTGTGCCTAGGATCGTTTGTCCGGTGCCGTCAACGCCGGTTGCTGCTGCTATTCCCACGGTGGCCTGCAGCGGTGGGAGCATCAGCACGAGGAGTCCAGGAAGGTGCAATGCGGTTCCTCTGCTGGTGCTCCCTAACTGCAAGCAGCTACTGCAGGAGAAGCCGACGCAGCAGCAGCAGCCTCAGCCTCAGCCTCAGCCTCAGCCGCAGCCGCAACCGCAACAGCAGCAGCAGCGTGTGCCACTGCAGCAGCAGCAGCAGCAAAACGTGGTACTGCCTCAGATGCTGCAGAAGCAGCAGCCAGTGGTTGCAACAGCTAGGTGTGTACCTGCATCACCACTGCTACACCTCCCCAAGGGGCTTGTTCAGAGTCCCAAGCAGTCCCGAACACACCCCCATCAGCAGCCGCCGCAGCTGCTGCAGCAGCAGCTAACGCCTTTGGTGCGGATGTGAGTGGCGACTGACAACAGCATTAGTGGCTGCGGATACTTAATACATGCTAAAGTGTATTGGCGACGAAGTGTATTGGTGTATACAAGCTGGTGATCTTTGCGTCTGTAGCTGCTGGCTACTGGGCAACAAGAGAGCCGTTATGCTGGGTTTGACTTTTGTTTGCTGTTTTTCAGAAGGTTATACTGGTAATAGTGTGCTTTGTGTAGTGTGTATCTGCTGCGACTGTAGGCTTCGTATAGCTAACCTCTTACAGAGGCACATAATTTTGTATAGTTTAATAATGTTCAGCAATAGCTTTGTTCGTTATGACACTAAGGCAGTTGCTGGAATTAGACATCTTGACGGGATTAGAGAGTAGTGGGATCAGAAACCAAATCATGGGATAGACATCTTGGAAGCACATTTTTCCTCATTGGAGACACATTAGGGTGAGGACAAGCAGGTACTAAGAAAAGAATGATCAAGAAGCCAGAAAATGAGACATGAGAGAAGGCTCATCTCATCACTCATCTCCTTGAAGCGCTATCTATCACCATCCATCGGGTAATGCAACCTCCTGCCACCAGAGCCAGTCTACTCTACTATCTCCAAGTCGCAACTCGCAACCCCCGAGCAGCACATTCGCTTGATCTGGGTCGACTGACTCGAATCTACTACCCAACCCTTGTCCAGCCTCTTCCGGCAAGTGGCAGCGCCGCAGCGGCACAGAAGCTTCTTCACGTTTCCGTCCCCATCCGTGACACTATCCACCTGGTAGTACACCCGTGATCACATGTGAGCTCCTCGCAGGGCGGGATGTTGTCGTATGCAAAGAGCATGATGTGCGGCAGGCGGTGGTCGTGGTGGTCGAAGTGTTTTGAGACGTCTCAAAACACTTCTTCAATCACGTGGTGGTCATGGTGGTCGTAGAACACGACAGCACGAACAGGATCGATGGGCGGTTGCGTTGCCCAATCCATCCGCCCACCTGCGGTCCAACCAGCACCCGTTAATACAGCCTTTTCCTGCAAGTGGCCGCCCCACAGTAACACAGGAGCTTCTTCACGTTCCCATTGCCGTCCATCACACTGTCCACCTGGTACCCGTAATCATACGTGAGTTCCTTCAACGGCGGGATGTTATCGTACGCAAAGAGCATGATGTGTGGCAGGCGGTGGTCGTGGTGGTCGTAGAACACACACTGCACGAACAGGTTGGGGTTGCAGCTGTGGTTGATGAAGCGCGCCACGTTGCCCATACGCTTGGCGTCCAGACAGAAATGGAGATCCTCGTGTGGTGCTGCTGCTGGTGCTGATGCCGCTGCTGCTGGTGGTGCTGCTGGTGCTGCTGGTGGGGCTGCTGCTGCTGCTGCTGCTGGTGCTCTTGTGTCACGTGAACGCTCACCGCTCTCACTGCCCTTGTGCCTCCCGTGCTGCCTGGTTGACTCATGCGGCAACTCTGAACCCCTGTGGTGCCTCATTGACCCACGAGTTTCGTGAGAACCCCTGTGGTGCCTTGTTGACCCACGAGGCTCGTGAGAACCCCTGTGGTGCCTTGTTGACTCATGAGTCTCATGAGACGCGTCAGAGCCCCTGTGGTGCCTGCTTGAATCATGCCCACGAGCCCGCTTTCCGTAGTCCCCTTCACCACCATCATACCCACCATATCCACCACCACCACCACCGCCACCACCGCCACCATCATCGCCACCACGACCACCTCCTGAAAGCCCTCTCCTGTCCCTGTCCGCCTCTCTCCCTTCCTCTCTCTCCTCCCTCCTGCCCTCTCCCATTCGCGCTTTCCGCTCCCGCGTGCTCTCCCTTCGCACTCCACCCCCCAACCCCTCCTCCCCTTCCCCCTCCTCCTCTTCCTCATCCAAACCACCACCAGCACCGGCACCAGCAGCAGCACCACCAGGAGCCCTGGCCCCCCCACCATTTCCACCATCCTCACGGCTACCGCCAAGAATGCCCGACACATCGCCCCAGCGTTCCTGAATCCCCCGAGCGAGATCCAAATCGAACAAGTACTCATCGTTTCCTCTCAGCGTTTCCGCATCATCATCCCTCATAAGATCTCCCGTGTACTCACACACAAAGTGCCCTGCAGGAATCGCGTCCCACGACCGCACCCCCCACCCCTTGTTCTCCGTTTTGAACACCTCCAAACGCACCTGCACGCCTTTCTGGCTCACCCTGTTGATACACGCACTGCTGCTGCTACTGCTGCTGCTGCTGCTGCTACTACCAGCGTTGCTGCGACCGGTGCAGGAGCAGGCGCACTGCGGGCCACACTCGTAGATAACTTGCTGTGCTTCTATCAGCCCACCCTCGCGTGTGAAAGGCAGCATGCCTCCGTTCAGCTGGGCGCACTCACACGCAGTGGCATCCACACACCCATCCGTGCAGGAACAGCCAAGCACCGGTGGCTGTAGATCAATTGCTGCTGCTGCTGCAGCAGCGGCAGCAGCAGCATCACCACCAGCACCAGCAGCAGCACCACCACCAGCAGCAGCAGCCTGGGCTGCTTCTCGCCTCGCCAGTTTCCTCAGAGCCTCGGCGTGGTTCATACTTCTGATGTACTGAAACGCAGGAGGAGGCACAGGTTGCTTATCCACCGTATTCACAGCACACACCGGCCGGCTCTCCTTCCCGTGAGAAATATCCTCCGCCACCACCCCCCTCCTGTCCTTGGACTTAGTCCCGCTTTTCAGCGACGCTCTGACAAACTCCACGGTTGGGGTTTGCAGCGCCGGCTGCCCTTCCTCCCTCTCCATCCGGAATTTGAAGATCATGTGGCCGGAATCCCCCGGGATATGCTCACTGCGCACGACTCGGTATAAGCCGTCGTAGGTGTAGACCATTTTGGTGTAGCTCGCTGGTTCTTTCACCCCGCGAATCACACGCACGGGCAGCTTCAACTTTTCGCTGTTGGCCAGTGCAAGATTCCCCCGCTCCAGCTGCTGGTCCTTCAGCTGTGTCCGATCCCCGCGGTAATTATTTCCGCCCTGCCCGGTGTAATCAAACCACTGCCCGTTATCCTCATCATCCTCATACCCACCGGATAGCACCACACAAGACGCTACCTCCACTCCCCACTGGTTCGCCCCGGAAGGAGAATAATCTATCCCCCCCTGCGCCTGGAGATTAACTCCCACCACCGCCATCTCCTGCCTACTAAAGAACTGAAACCCTACCGGAACGCCCGGAACATGGCCTATGACGCGTGCCTTTTCATTGTTGATTACCAGACCTTGCCTCCGCATGGTTTTCCCTGCGGAGAGATCCGGTCGCTTATTGTACAGATTTTTCGCCATCACCTCTTCCAACAGCTCTGCAACCCTCTCAACGTTCTCTTCTTCCGGATCTTCTTCTTCGTCCCCTTCCCCTTCGCCCCTCCTCCCGCTACCAACACCTGCTCTTGTTCCCACCCTCCACTTCCCTCCCACTTTCTTCCCTCTTACCTCAACCCCTCGCCCTTTCCCTTTCCCTCCTCGCCCTTTCCCTCCTTTCCCGCCCCCTGCTCGCCGCCGGTTGAGAGCAGCAAGCTTAGCCTTAGCAGCCAGGTGTAACTCATTAACGCGTACGTAGTGCCTCCTGAGAGCCTCGTATGTACGGAGCGTCTTCACCACAGCCAACGCCGCTTCTCCTTCTCCTCTGTACGTCCCTTGCGTCCCATCATTATTCTCCTCTCTTGCCCGCATCCCACCACCCAAGTCCTCCTCTTCCTCCTCCCTCTCCTCCGCCTCCTTTTCTTCCTCCTCTTCATCACCCCTCGCACCTTCCCCAACACCACCACCCGCACAAGCGGCGGCACTTAGCAATCCGGCCACGTTGGCAGGGCCCATTAATTTGGGCTGCAATTTCTGCAGCAGCTGCCCGGCGCTCTCGTCGTGGAGCTGAATGGCGGCGCACGCGAGCTCAGCAGCCATGTTTGCGGGCAGGTCGGGCAGGGAAAAGTCTTTTGGAAGCGGGTTGGGCAACCGGTATCCTATGAGACGGAAAGGGGGACAGAAATGTTTTAGTAAGGGGGACAAGTGTGAGGTATATAGTCGTGAAACCAAGACAGGCAAAAAGCAAGGGAAAAAGGCCGATGGCTAGGGAAACGAGATGGGACCCGGGAGGGGAAGAGCAACTGGAGAGAGGAGAGAGTTAGCGAAGAGAGATCCGAGGAGTGTAAAGGGTGTCAGCTCGTTACGGGAGTATGAATACGTAAGAAACGTTGCTGTTTGTACAATAAGAGTGCAACTCACCTCATTAAAGACAATTGAGTTGACTCAAGAGTCAACTCGCTGTGTATACAGTAAGGGAGCACCACTCACCTCGTTAGAAACGATTGAGACGACTCAAATTTCAACTCGCTGTGTCTACAAAAAGGGCGTACCACCTCGTTAGACACGTCAAACTCAAAAGTCAACTCGCTGCGTCTACAATAAGGAAGCATAATTCACCTCGTTTGAAGACAACGGCTTTCTTGCGCACGTGAGAGGCTCGACTCGGCCTCGCCGGCACCACGGCCTTCCCCGTCTTTTCCGGGATCTCATCGTCAGCCTCATCGTTGCTCCGCGGGTCGTCCTGCACGTGCGTATCCAGCATCGGGTCAGCAAGGATCGTGTCCACGTCAGACGGCACCAGCGCCAGCGCGAGTGATGACGGGGAAGCCGCTGTTGCTGTCCCCGCTATGGAGGCATTCACTGGAAGAAGATCGTGAGAGGAAAAAGACGCGTCGGCCATGTCTGATCGACTCGCGGCAGCCACCATGTCTTCCTGCGCTGTCCAATTATCCAAATTAACGGTGTTACCACCGCTGTTAGTCACGGTGTTACAACACGTGTCACCACCGCCCTGAATGTAAACGGTGATCCACGACTTTCAGCCAATGCGCAAGCGGAACTAAAAAGCAGCAGATACGCGAGAGATTATTTCGCACTGATTGCAGTCACATAGCGATGCCTCGGTCCCGCCGACCACAGGAGGAGACACCAGGGAACGTCTCGAGGGATGAATTGACGAGGAAGAGAACGCGAGAGAGGCGGGTGCGCGCGATAGGTCACACACTCTCACCACGCTCGTTCGAAAGCGGTCGCTGTCGCTCAATTGTGCAACTATCGCGGCTCTGGGTGGAGCAACACGGCGGAGTCGAGGGAAACAGAAAGACGGAGTGCGAAGGGAAGCCTCGGTGCGAAGGGATGAGATGTGCCAGCTTTGTTGGCTGTGAGCTGGCAACAACTGCTGAATGTTCTTGTGCACAGCAACCAGCAGTTTTGTTGGCGGTATGAGCTGACAACATCTTTTCTTTCGCTAACGAAGCAGTATTCTAGAAAAATACTCGAAGCTCGTGTCACCCGTGTGGCCTTCGCCCGCCCACTGAATCAAACCACTGGCTAGTGCTTTGGTGGTTCCAAAACATTCGCGTTTTCGGTTTCGTTTCAATTCGAACAGTCTGTAGTGAAAGTCAAATACCCCCGCAGCTCTCGAGAATGTCATTTGCGGCCATCCACCCGCCCAACCAGCTTCGATGAATTTTGAATGCGCCAATTCGAAGTTCGGAGGTTCAAAATTTCGACAACACGAACGGTGTACAAGTATCGTTAAACGAACTAGTCAGAAGCACTTGAATCAACCCTTATCATCTACACATTTGTTCTGATGCAGTTCACCCCATCATTATCTTCCCAAAGCAGAGACAGGATGGCTGCAGTACAATCCAGTAGTTCCAACACCAGTGGCTCGTCCCCCTTTCCCCATCGATTTCCAGCAACAACTATGGAAGAATGATACAATGTTTAACCATGCTTGCTTGATTGAGCAACTGCTGCCCTCTACCTTCCCCTCAAAACCATTTGCCTTCCTTGAAATCTCTCTTCCCCTCCAACCCACCAAACTCCAGCTACTCCTGCTACTCCTGCAAAGCACGCACAACGGAATTTTCAATACCAACCAGCTTCCATCCCTCTGTCCATGAGCTCTATAAGCACCAATCAAGCACGCTGCACGCCCCAAGAGGCACGAGTCTACGAGACCAAACCATTCTATGAAATAGACCCGTCCGGAAACGGATCCAGCGCCGCCTTGTTCCCATTCTCATAATAATCAATCAGCGCCACCAGCCTTGCTTCCTTCTCGGGGTGGTAATTCACATGCACACTCACCGGCTTGAACCCCGCAAACCTACCCGTCTCCTTCCGAACCTGCTTAAACAGCACCTTGCTGTTCATAAACTTGAAATAATCCATGGCTCGCCGCGAAATATGCAGCCCGGAAACCCCCGGCCGCGACGGGAACCACATCTCTTCGTTGTACACAGCCTGGTCCCACGCCTTTTCCGTCGCGAGGCGCATCGCGACGCGGTCCAGCAGCTCAATGGAAGCCGCGGTCGGGCGGATGTAAAACAACCCTGAGTTGAACACAAAGATGCGCATGGAGTGAGAGTATCGGCCCCATCCCAACGCGGGATCATCCAGCACATCATCATACCCATATGCCGTGGCATTCGAGAATCCATCCGTCATTCCCTCCACGTCGGAATCACGGTACAGGTGGTTCCCTTCAAACGGGTTCTGCAGGAAGCCGATATCAATGTCTGAGAGCAGGACAGAGTAACCGAGCACGAGGAAATCGCGCAGAAGGTGGAATTTCGAGCTGGAAATCGCATGGTTGTCCCCGCCGTCTTTCTGCGTGTCTGCAATCTTCGCCTCCTGCTGATACACCGGCACGCCGCGGGACTCGCACAGCTGCCTCGTCATATCATCCAAGGCCACCACCAGGTAGTTCTTGATCCCTGCGCGCTGAATCTGCGTGAACCACGTCTCGAGCATTGCACGGATGTTGATGTTTGAGATGCCGACGATAACCTCCTTGTTGATCGCAACCTTTTCAAGAATAGCAGCCAACTGGGGGTTGACTGACGGGTCGGGGATAATCTCGGGGTTCTTAGACTGGCTGTGCACGGTCCCTCTCGGCCCGGCTTTGATTCTCACATTAGACCAGAAGGATTCTGCTGTGGGGACAGCATCAGCTGCTGTTGCCCCTCCTGCTCCTCCTGCGCCTGTTGCATCGTCACCGCCGCCGGAGGCAGCGAGCAGCTTCTTGTCGAGGTCGGCTTTTTCTGTCTTGAGCTGGTGCATGCGGCGCTGGAGAGAGAGGATTTCCTCCCTCAGTCCCCGCAGCTCACGCTCCTCTGGTGATACGGCCTGTTGGGGGGGAGGAGGGGCGAGGAGGGGCGAAGAGGGGCGAGGAGGCGAGTAATGAGACGTCTCAAAAGTCGGCGCTGGGAGAACTTCCTCCCTCCGGTCCCCCGGCGCTCACGCTCCTTTGGTGATACCGCCTGCGGAAGCAAGAATGGGAGAGGGGCGGCGAGGAGCGGGGAGGAGGGTCAGGAGTGGCGAGGAGGGGCGAGGAAGGGCGAGAAGAAGAGAAGAGGAGAATGGAGAGGTGGGCAACGGGAGCATGGGAGGGACGAAGCGATAGCATGTTACTTCAAAGAATTCTCAGAAGAAAATACCAGTTCATTTAGGTCACTTGAAGAGTAGCTGTGCGAGTTTCTAACCAGCTTCCCTGCGACTGCGACGCCTCAACACAGCACAGCTCAGCGTAACGCTTTAGCTGGATAGTTATACACGGGGAAAAAAAAAAAGATTCAGAACTCGGTTAGATAGCAGGTCATCATGCAGGCGCATAATAGTTAGTATACCACGCACACCCCGCTAAAAAACTGATTCAGAACTCAATTTAATAGCAACTCACCCTTGCCTGTACTCCGGCGCGGCTAGCAGGGCAACCCCGCGCCGCGCGACAGTCATTAAGGTTTCTTAGGCCTATTTTTTCTTCGTTATACCGTCGAATGGAACCCCACTGGATCCCCGCTTACCCCTTTGGCTGAACCGCTTCGTGGCAAGCAGAGAGAGCTCCCAGCGCGGCGCCAAGCAGCTTTTAATTCGGTTTCAGAAGCGTAAGTTTCTAGTCGTTTGTACTGCCGAAAGGATCCGCGCTAGTTTCCCGCTCTGCTAAATCCCCGCTTACCCCTTGGCTGAACTGCCAAACCGCAAGTAGAGCACCCAGCGCGGCGCCTAGCGTGATCGCAATGCCGATCTTACGGTCCGTCAGGCCCTTGGATTGAGGGTCCTTCCTCATCGCCGCCCGCTACGTCGAAACGTTGAGACAAAATTGACGGATTCCGTCGAAAGTCGAACCGTCTTAATGGATATCGTTGGGTAGCGGGTACAAGTAGTAGCGGCACTAGGGCTACTGTACCCTCGGATCACGCGATAATGGTATGACGTGGAAGCGCTCCGCGGGGACGATATCGAATCCGTGCTCCTGATAACGCGGTGTTCGGAAATATAACCTGGCTTTACCGCAGATTTCACGGGGGAGCAAGAATAGACCGCTATGAAGAATCAAATGGATTAGAGTGATCTGAGAGACTAGGGAAGGAACGGCTGCTGTGCATCGTAGACCGGGTAAGGAAAATCCTCGGTAAGAAAAAAATATGAAAATCTTGTATATTGCATATCTTCATTGTTTCTCTGCTGTGTATTTCAATGGTCAAAATATTTCCAAGGCAGGTTACACGGTACCTTCCTTCCTGTGCTGTCCACAAAAATATATATATTCCCATCAATTCTTGTCTGATAAAAAGTTGATCTGCACAAATCCGTTCTCGAATCTCCTCACCACCAGCACGGCGTAATAACCAAAAGGTTACGTTTTTAACATTCCTAATAAATGGCACTAGCGCATTACTTCACAGAGAGGATGCGCGCTCCCCATTACTGCATTACACTATTGGGATACTAGCCCGAGGTCGTCTTCGCCAAAACCACATTGGCGACTGTGAGAATAGTAGGCACAAGTAGGAGCCATAGCTAGGTAAGCCCTAGCTAGGCAAGTGAAAGTTTAGGCAAAAAGGAGCGGTTCACTAGCAGCAGTTGGGATACTCTCAGAATAGGAATGCAACGGAATCGTCAAACTAGGAAGTGTGGAAGTACAAATATGCAACCCTAACAACTGTACTCCCTATTGTGCTACTCACTGTAGCCTACAAGCATAGAATTACATTTGACACACCCCCATAGGCTAAGTGAGGGGCATCAAAGCAAGCAAGGTGAACAAACGGTCACAAGACCAGTCAAAGCAAGAAACAAGGCAAGCTCAGGGTGGATCTCAAGGACACCACACAAATTCCGAGCGCAAGCAAACGGCCACAAGGCCAGTTCAAGAGTTCACTAGGATATAAATAGGAAACACAACAAGCAGAGCAAACAACAAGTCTACAGCAACCGAGGGCCTACCTCAACAAGCCCCAACTGCACACAGAACCTGTGGTGATCACCAAGCGCCAAGGCCTTGGTGAAGACGTCTGCAGTGTTGGCCTCTGAGGCCACAAAGTCCAGGCGTGCCTGGCCACGTCGCTGCAGCTCTCGCAGGAGGAAGTACCTCACGTCAATATGCTTCACTCTGCTCTCCAGTCGAGGCTCTCGACACAGGAGGATCATGGCCTTGTTGTCAGCGTACAAGGTCGGTGCAGAGCGAGGCCGCTCACCAAGGTCGGCGAGCAAGAAGGTCAACCAGCGAAGCTCCTGTGCCGCCATGGCACCAGCGTAGATCTCTGCCTCTGCACTGGAAGTAGCCACAGACGACGACCGTGTAGACCTCCACGACACAGCACCAGCTCCCAGACTGAAGCAGTAACCCTGAGTCGAGCGCTGAGTCTCCACGTCGTCAGCGTAGGAAGAGTCGCAGTGACCAGTCAACGCCACTGGCTGAGTCCCTTCAAGCACAAGCCCCATGCCTGATGTAGTCGCCAGGTACTTCGCCACCCTCACAGCAGCTGTCCAGTGGACAGGTCGGTGTCTCCCAGTCGCAACAAAGCGAGAAAGGATGCTGAGGGGAAAGGCGAGGTCCGGTCGAGTACAAGTCATCAGGTACATGAGGCAGCCCACCAGCTCTGCGTAGGGTCCACTGGACTCGAAGGGCTCGTCAGGAAAGGGGCCCGTGAGTCTGTGGTCAACAGCAAGAGGAGTGGGCTGTGTGGTGGAGAACTGGAAGTCGAACCGCCGAAGGACCTGCTGCACCATGTGTGACTGCGTCAGTGTGATGGTGCGAGCGGCTCTGTCCCGGGTGATCTGCAGGCCAAGGTAGCGCTGCAGCTCACCCAGGTCAGTAAACTCGTGTCTCTTCTGCAGTTCGGACTTCACCTGAGCCAGGGCTGCCCTGTCAGCTGTAGCAAACACCAAGTCGTCGACGTAGACAAGGATAAAGAACGGAGTAGAACCCGCTCGAACAAACAGCGACGGGTCGGCGGAGGACGGGCTGAACCCAAGGTCACGAAGCGTGGAGCGAAGAGTGTCGTGCCACTCACGGGGCGACTGGCGGAGACCGTAGACTGGTCGCCTCAGGCTCCACTGACTCCCAGGTGGGAAGGTGTCAGTGAAGCCAGGAGGACGGCGCAGCCAGATCTCCTCGTGCAGTCGGCCCTGGAGGAACGCAGTGGAGAAGTCGAGGGAGTGCAGCTCGTAGTCTCGCAGTGCTGCTATGTGGAGTAACACCCGAAGAGTAGTCATCTTCGGGGTCGGGGTGAAGGTCTGGAAGAAGTCAACTCCCTCACGCTGACTGAAGCCCCTAGCCACGTAGCGCGCCTTGAACACCGGCGGTGCTCCAGGCGGCCGCTTCACCTTGAAGAGCCACATGCCATCGACTACGTTCGCCCTGGGAGGGGGAACTGCGTCGACGTAGGTGCCTGTGGATCTCCAAGACGCCAACTCTGAGTCCATAGCCGCTTTCCACTGAGAGGCCCACGCCCCTGACACTGCCTCGCGGTAAGTGCGAGGAGTCGGTATGTCAAGGGCGTCGGGGTCTCCCTCAGGGGAGAGCAGCATGGCACACACAGAGGGAGAAGCGGCTGCCCAGTACTCCAGCTCAGACTCTCTGTCCTCTAGGACGTCACAGCCAAGGGCAAACCCACCCCCGACGGACAGAGGACGGTAGGGAGGAGCTGGCACCACCCGGGTGGCATAGTCAAGGCGGCTGGCGGCAGCAAACTCAGCGACAGCGGCAGTAAGAGCCGAGGCAGACGACGGAGGGAAACGAGAGTCAGTGACAAGAGTGGCGAGGACACGTGCGGCAACAGGACGAACAGTGCGGTAGTAGTCAGTTATAGGAGTGGGGAGGGCTGGGAGAGAGGACGGAGGAGGAGACGGGAGAACGGACACAGGAGAAGGAGAACGACGACGGGACGAACAAAGGAGGGCAGTGTGGAGGTCAGTAACAGGGGACGAGTGACGAGCACGCGGAGGACAACGAGTGATCAAGTCGTGACGGACAGAGTGAGGAGGAGACCGAGGAGGAGGAGAAGACCAGACCGCCGGACGGTCGTCAGGAGGAGGCAAGGGAGGAACAAGCACAGGAGGAGACTGGGAGCGGACAGGAGGAGAGGAGGAAAGGCCAAGGGCCCGCAGGCCACTCACAGGTGGGAACAACTGCTGCTCCAGAGGAAGCTGCGGTGGCGGCTGCGGCTGCTGCTGCTGCAGCGGCGGCTGCGGCTACTGCTGCTGCGGCTGCGGCTGCGGCTGCTGCTGCTGCGGCTGCGGCTGCTGCTGCTGCTGCTGCTGCTGCTGCTGCTGCTGCTGCTGCTGCTGCTGCTGCTGCTGCTGCCGCTGCTGCTCCAGAAGGTCCAGCACCCGCAGCTCCTGCCGCTCCCTCTCCAACCGCTCCCGCTCCTCACGCTCACGCCGACGGGCAGCCTGGAGACGCGTGTCGTGGCGGTGGGGAGGCGGAGTGGACTCCGCAGAACCAGGGTCTCCAACGTCAGTCTCCTCAGACTCAGCACCCCCAGAACCAGCACCTCCAGTGCCAGGACCTCCAACTCCAGCACCCCCAGAACTAGCACCGCCAGTGCCAGCACCGCCAACTCCAGCACCCCCAGAACTAGCACCTCCAGTGTCAGCACCTCCAGCTCCAGCACCCCCAGAGCCAGCGCCACCTGCGCCAGCACCTCCAGCTCCAGCACCCCGCGACCGAGCACCCCCAGACCGAGCACCGCCAGCGGCTGCACCTCCAGCTCCAACACCAACCGAGTCCACAGTAACCTGTCGCGGAAGTGCCGAAGGCTGCTGAGGGGACTGTG